TTGCTTGCAGAGGGGAGTGACCTGTGTCCTGTAATGTACTGAAAGAAAGATCTACTTTAAGTCAAAAATCTTACTTTCTTAATCCTATATTACAAGACACAGGGCAAAGTAAGTACATTGGGAAGTTGAAATGCAGTGCAACTGAGGGGGCAAAACAGCAAATGAAAGCCAACAAGTCCATAAAAACCAAAAGGTTAGCAAAAGGTGTCTCTACAGATGCAACAGAGCAGCCTGAAATACCTTCCATCTGAAACCAGCATCAGCTGAGACCTGAAAATCCACCTGGTAAAATGTAGACCAGGTGGCAGTTTTGCAAAGCGGAGATGCCGAATACTGAAAAGCAAGCGAAGCACTAACTAATCTTATAAAGAGGCTTCAACAGAGAAAAGGGGGGAGACCTTGCCCTTGGGGTCACAAGCTTAAATGATGGGTTAACAAATCTACCAAGTGATAGTGGAACAAGAAGTCAGTTGTCATACCGTGCCAGGCTGTCAAAAAAAGAGGTGTAGCCAAGGGATAAACTTGAACAGAGCATACTATGTGCAGGGAATGGTGGAAAATCTCTTTAGAATGTTTAGGAGCAGAACTGAGATATAGGAGACCAATGTTCTGGCTCTTCCACCTAGGGAAGAAAACAGACCTGACCAGACAGGACCATGTCAAGAACTGACAGAGTAACTAGGGGAATGTACATGAGGAACAATGTGTGCAACTGCCTGTATGGATGCCTTCACTAAGGAGCTAGAGGCAAGCAGTGCCTGAAAAAGAAAACACATGCCTGATAAGAGGGATCGATAAAGAGAGAAAAATATCCCAAATGCATTCAAAATACTGGCCTCTGAAGGACCAACAACACCAGATTAAGATACCACAGATGTAGCAGGGAGGGTTCTGATTTGGAAATGTGAGCCACCCATTGCACAAAGTTTTTGAGGAGTAGGAAGCCAGCAGTCTCTGAAAGAGTTCTATCAAGGCAGAAAACTGACCATTAATTGTCCCAAGGATTGAGTACTTGTCCAGTTCTGATCGAAAGAAGGATAAAACTCAGTCAACAGAATATTTCTTAAGATGAAGTTTTCTATTTTCGCACTAAGCAAAGTACACTTTCCACATGAGGCGCTGTACCCTGCAAGAAGAGGGCTTTCTGGCCTGACCAGGGAGAGGTGGGGGGATGTGATAAACATTTACTCGGAAAGCTCAGGGATCTCTTGATGAACCTGTCCATTTTATGGATGAGTCTGGACTCCATTAGATCACTATCTGGTGTTTCCCATCAAAGTTACAGTTTGTGAAATCGCTCCAGGTTGAGGGACCACTCTCCAGGATCCAGCTATTGGCAGCTTAGGAAGTCTGCTTGAAAAATGTTTACACCAGGAATATGTAGTGCAGCCAGAACTGGCACATTTAATTTGAGTCAGAAAGATCTCCACTTCTCAAAAAGTGGCCTGATGTCTGGCATTCTGGACTTCTGATACAGGCTGGGGTCTGTTGTCAGTACTTTTAACATCACAGGGAGAAAGGTTTCCCCAACTCCAGTGCCTAGCTGGATAGCCATCATTCTAAGAATAACTTAGTTTTGGTGTTCAGAGACATGGGGTGATTAAAAGGACAAGGACCTTTTGTCCCACACTGCCAGGATGTTAAGCTGCAAAAATCTCCAATGAAACTGCCTGTACGGGACTGCTTTGAAAAAGGCTACCATCAGCCCCTAGCATCCTCATGCAAAAGTGAATTGAAGGGCAATTGGGGAAACTCATCTCCCACACCTAGGACTGAAGGATTCTAAACTTTTAAAGCGAAAGGAGAACTCCTGCCAGGGATGTGTCCAGAATGCAATCTAGATAATCCAGTCAGTGTGACTGCTCCAGGATTAATGTCTTCAGACTAAGAACCCAGCTGTCCTCCAGGACTTGCACATCTGCTGCACATTGGCCATGAAGCCCTCTCTCGACTGCTCTGCAGGAGTAGATTGTTCACATACTAGAAAATGGGGATCTCCTGGCTCGCTACAAAACATACAAAACTGGGTCAGCACCTTTCAGAACACTCATGGTACCACAGTTAGGCTAATAGGCAGAGCCACAAACTGAAAATGTTTTTTTCCCTACTCCAATGTGCAGGGGGTGCTGATAAAGCAGAAGCAGAGATAAGGGAGGTAGACATCCTTGATGTCCATTGAAGGATGTCCATTAAAGCCAAAAATCCCCCAGATGGAGGGATGCAACCACTGACCTTACAGATTTGATTGGGAACTTTTGAACATCTAAGAATTTGTTCAGGCATTTCAGGTCCAGAATGGGCTACATATCACCATATGGCTTGGGCACCGTAAACAGGCTGGAGTAGTAACTGTGAAACCTTTCTGGTTTTGGAACAGGGGAAATGACCCCGTGAGAACGCAACTGGTCCAAAGCAGCAAACTGATCAGTAGGCACATTCAACATGAAGTGTGCAGGAGGCAAGACTGAGATATCTTGCTTCCATGTGGCCATGAAGGCTACCAAGCATCAACCCACTTGCAGAAGCAGGGGCGACCCTTCACCGGGCAGGTTTGTTGTCAGTATTGGCGAGCTTGGGGGTCCAGGATGTTTTCCAAAAAGAAGTTTTCAGTTTCATTCCCGAGTTCTGAAAAGAAAAAAAAGTAACCTTTGTTGATTCCAGACAAAGACGGCTTTTGCTGCTTTAAAGGTGAGAGTGCCCTTTCCTCTCATGATCTTATGGGTAACTAAATATAGATCATTGCCAGAGAGGTGTTAAATCTCAAAAGGCATGTGTTCCAATTGCTTCTTGCAGGGGAGCTCAACTGACTAGCATTTAAATCCACAGTACTTTCATCATGTGCTTTCGCATAACCCATAAGCAAGAGATTTGCTAGAGAATCTTGCCAGTCTATCCACGCAGAAGCGCAAAGCTTCAGGGAAGAGCTCCAAGTGCTGTCTGGCCAGTGATCCACACTGAATTTCTCCTTGTTCTTTCATCATATGCCTTGCCAATACTAGCAAAGGCTGACAAATCTCCATGGATTCAATAGTGTGTTGCATGGTCACACTGGTCACGAAAAAGAAGGCATTAAAAAGGGACTGAAATGTTTTGTCCAAAGCATCCCTAAACACTGGCACATTTTCCATTGATACAGTAAGGGTCTTATTTAAGGGTTCACAACAGGGAACACCAACTTTTTGCGGAAATGGTCATTGAACAGTTATTCAAAAGTAATAGAGAAAAATTCAACCCGTGCAGCACCATACATTTTGATTAAAAGAAAGGTTGCCAGTTAGCACTGAAACTGGTATCACTTCACCTAAAACAGAAAATTCACTTTTTGATTATTCGATCAGTTATTGTTGTGCAAACTGCTTTGTGGGTGCAAATAACTTGTGTGGATAAGCCTAGTCCATGCACAGGTCCTCTTTGGTATGAGGATGCAATGGAAAGCAATTGGCTGATCCTTTAATCCCTGGAAGTTTCAGTGACAACAGTTTTAAAGCAGCATTAAATACAAAAGCAAAAATTACATTGCAGCTTACCAATTCTTAGGTATGATGGCTGTATTAGTTTCCTTTTTTTAGCCTCTTTTTTTCTGTATTCTCATCTGGTGAACCAGCGGGCAGGTCAAATTTTTTTTCAAAAGCACAAGCTCTCCAGCAGATTGTACCAGCTTACAAACCACTTAACACTGGCAGTGGTGATTAAAATGACCAGATTTTATTATTCATGCAAACCTTTATCCTAAAAGTAAATAACTGTTTGATGTAACTGAATTTAACGTGTGAGCTGGAATTTGGCTTCCATTTGTTCGTGTATCTAAATCTGCTAATACAGTTAACACTATCCCCCCCACCCCCTGACTGACAATGATGCTGTCCGCTGTGCCTCCTATGCTCATCCCTCCAGTGTTGTGTCTCACTAATACTGGAGGCGTTCTAATGGCAAGATCACCAGGTGAAAATAGAGGGAGAAAAACCCAAAGTAAAGAACACTGTTACCACCATCATATCTAATTATTGGTAAACTATAATAATTTTTTTGCTTTAGTGTAAAACACTGCTATAAGTTCTTACTGACCATCTCTGAGAACATTCACTGTGGTCTATTGAGATAGGAGGCACATGAGAGGTTTGGGCATCCTCTTTAGAGGATTTGTCTGCTTCGGAGAGTCCTCAGATCAGGAAACCCGAGAAATGTGATTGGGGAAATCACAAGGTAACGCCTGTGGGAGAGAGACAGACCTCTTATGGTGATCACTCCAGAAAACCCTCTGGATATCAGCTAGCTGTTTCAAAACTCCTCCTTCGACATGAAGGTTCCACATGACAGAGCTCCTGAATGAGTTAGTGAGGAACCAGACCTTGCCAGGGAGGCAGACCTGATTTGCAGCCCCATAAATAAATCCAGTACAATTAAGAAATTATTTCCTATAAGGTATACAATTTTCATTGTTTGCTGTTTGTTATAGATTTTTCATTTTAAATAACAAACATGTCATACTTACCTGCTCTGTGCAAAGCCCCGATCCTCCTCTTCTCAGGTCCCCCGCCGGCACTCCAGGCCACCTTCCTCGCTGCTGAGTGCCTCAGAGCAAGCTGCTTGCTCAAGGGACACTCATGCGTGCTTGCTCCCTAGCCATTTCTGTGTGTCTATGAGAGGGGGGAGAAGCACACTGAAGGCAGCATGAAGGTAAAAACCTTCAGCCTTTAGAACCTCTAACTGTCACAGGCCTAATTATTCAGAAGAGCCATTTTATTGTGTTGTGTTGCTATACAGTGACCTGTGATAAAATGTAGATTTCAAACACACAATGTTGTTCATAATTAGCATAGAAAGATTATATGTGTTCTAAGTCAAGCATGTCCACTAACATTTGAGCTACCCTTCTCATCTTTTTGCGGACACACAGTATAAGGCATTAAAGCGTAATGTCTTTTTTAGAGATACACATCTGGCATGTGGTGTTGCCAACATCATTTCCTTTAAAATATTACCAAGACAAAACAATTTACCGGTCCAGCATCTTTGTACTTGCACGCTCCAATTTTTCTAAAATCTGAGGAAGTTGTGTGTCATCATCACAGGAGCCACCCCAGCCGAGAACCCGTGCCAAGTCATTTCCAGTACCCAATGGAAGAACCCCCAGCTGACACTAGAATTGCATAAAAATGTTCACACATTTTTTAAGTACATAAAATGTATTCATTACATAGAGATCTTCTTAGATTGCTCACTACCATGCAGAAAATAATTAACTTGTAACTTTTTGAAACCTGTTTGTAATAGCAAACCAAAACATTGAAAAACCAGCATCGCCTCCTTTACCAGCTTTTACTTTTATTACCCCATATTTATTCGGAATTAAATTGGAGATCATGCACATCATTATTTTCCCACGGCAATAAATCAATTTACCACTTTCAGAAAAACATTTCATTTCGCTGAAACATTTCCAGAGAAACTTTCAGAGAAAGTATGCAAGTTCAAAATGAATACTATTGGAATCATACATTACTGTGTCTTTATCACAGCAGTGCTGTGCAGAAATTACATACTAAAAATTGTCTTATCTACAGATTGTATTTATATATTATCTTCCACAAGAACATGCACACACGTGACATTCTCTTCCAAAAATAAGTCTCAAAACATTACAAAAAAAAAATACTATTTAAAAATACAGTATAATGTAGAAAAAAATTAAACATAGGACACACCAAGCCACACAAATATGTTACAACTGCATGCATTTAAAAGTTTGTAGATGTAAATGGGTCCTGTCAATGGTTGTGCTTTATTAAATAAATGGTCAGTTAAGGGTAAACCTGCTACTAATACAGTCATCAAGAGGAGTTTTGCTTTTTCTACCAGTTACAGATATTTTACATACTAACCTGTTTATGTAAGCTTAGTTTATCTATCTCAGACAAAACCCAGCCAACACTTCCATCTCCTCCACACACAAGAATTCGGAAATTATCAAACTTCTGAAATAATCGTAAACTAAAATAAAAGGGAATTACATATTAAGCCAATAAATCATTTTGCTGAAATGTAAAAAATTATTGAAGTCAAACAAAAGTATGCACACAGAGTGACTTTACAATAGAACCCATACCACAACTAAATCCAAATCCCTTTCTGGTTGTTCAAAAGTCCTCACCCTAAATGAGGTCCTCCATTCATCAAGTCAAAGACCTGAGCAGGATTTAGTAACTGCTTGAACCTCCGAAGGAATTTCACACCTTGATTGTCTCCACTTTTGGAATTAACAAATACAAGCAGTGGACTGGCACAAGAGGGCGGACAGGTAGCTTTCCAGAACCCTGGCATTTATTAAAAAAAAAAAAAAAAAAAAAAAATTATGATATAGCAACATGCTACTATATGTACACAAACATCTCTTTATATAGTATGCATGATAGATATATATATATACACACACACACACACAGTTGTGTTCAAAATAATAGCAGTGTGTTAGAAAAAAAAGTGAATAAAGCTCAAAATCCTTCTAATAGCTTTTATTTCCATACACACAAATGTATTGGGAACACTACACATTCTATTCCAAATCAAAACATGAAGAAAAATTATATCAAATTTGTGTTGTTCCTCTAAAAAAAATTGAAGAAAAGTGAATATTAGACTGTTCAAAAAAATAGCAGTGTTTGTATTCTTCTTTACAAACTCAAACATTCACTATATAAACTGAAAAATGTTTGAAGATTTTGCTTTCCTTTGAATCACTTCATTAATATTTAGTTGTATAAGCACTGTTTCTGAGAACTGCTGTACATCTGTGTTGCATGGAATCAACCAACCTCTGGCACCTGTGAACAGGTATTCCAGCTCAGGATGATTGGACTACATTCCACAGTTCTTCTCTATTTCTTGGTTTTGCCTCACAAACTGCATTTGTGATGTAACCCCACAAGTTTTCTATTGGATTAAGATCCAGGATTGGGCTGGCCACTCCATAACGTCAATCTTGTTGGTCTGGAACCAAGATGTTGCACGTTTACTGGTGTGTTTGGGGTCGTTGTCTTGTTGGAACACCCATTTCAAGGGCATTTCCTCTTCAGCATAAGGCAGCATGACCTCTTCAAGTATTCTGATGTATTCAAACTGATCCATGATCCCTGGTATGCGATAAATAGGCCCAACACCTTATTATGAGAAACATCCCCATATCATGATGCTTGCACAACCATGCTTCACTGTCTTCACAGTGTACTGTGGCTTGAATTCAGTGTTTGGGGGCCGTCTGACAAACTGTCTTCGGCCACTAGACCCAAAAAGAACAATCTTACTTTCATCAGTCCTCAAAATGTTGCGCCATTTCTCTTTAGGCCAGTCAATGTGCTCTTTGGCAAATTGTAACCTCTTCAGCACGTCTTTTTTTTCAACAGTGGGACTTTGCGGGGGCTTCTTGCAGATAGCTTGGCTTCACATAGTTGTCTTCTAATTGTGACAGTACTCACAGGTAACTTTCGACCTTCTTTGATCTTCCTGGAGCTGATTGTTGGCTGAGTCCTTGTCATTTTGGCTATTCTACCCATTCGAATGGTAGTTTTTCGCTTTCTTCCACATCTTTCAGGTTTTGGTTGCCATTTTAAAGCATTTGAGATCATTTCAGCTGAGCAGCCTATCATTTTCTGCACTTCTTTATATGTTTTCCCCTCTCCAATCAACTTTTTAATCAAGGTACGCTGTTCTTCTGAACAATGTCTGGAACGACCCATTTTCCTCAGAATTTCAGAGAGAAATGCACTGTAACCAGCATGTACAACATTTGCTGCCTTCCTTCCTTAAATAAGGGCAATAATTTCCACCTGTTTTTCAAAGAATGAATGACCTCAGTAATAGAACTCCACACTGCTATTATTTTGAACATGCCCCTTTCAATTAGTGATTCAATTACACAGAATCAGCAGCATGCATGTCATGACTGTTGGGTCTGTTGGATTTCTATTACTCTACTACACCTGCTAGTAAATTATTTGCCATGTAGAAATATAATTTCTACCAAAAACAGTGATTGATCAGGTTAGTGATGTCTGACTGCTATAATTTTTGAACACAACTGTATATCCATACATACATACACACACATGGGTTGGACATAATTATGGAAACATCAGGTAAAAGAACAAAATTGTTAGCGAATATGGTGTTGAACCGCCTTTGGCAACTAAAACGGCCTGAATTCTGCTGGGAATTGACAAATGTTAGTCTTGGATGGTGGTTAATGGAATCTGATACCACTCTTAATACAAAAATCATTCCAGTTCTTGCAGAGATGCTGAAGGTGGAAAACAAACACAAACTTCTTTTCCAAAATGGACTATAGTGGCTATATGATATTGAGGTCCGGAGGGAAGGTGCGAGACTTGGTCTGCATGCTTGTCAAACCCTGATTTGACAACACCAGCTGTGTGAACCAGAGCATTATCCTCTTGGTAAAGGGTGCTCTTCTTCAGGAATCAATGCCTGCACCATGGGGTGTACATGGTCTACCAACATTCGTACATAGTCCCCGGCAGTGACTCTACCTTCCAAGGTGATGACGGGGCCTGCAGAATACTAAGATATGGCTGCCCAAACCATGTCTGGTGGTTGGGAACAGTGAAAAAGTCAATTAATCTGACCATATTACAGTCTTCCATTGATCAATAGTCAACGATTAATGGGTGTTGCACAACTCTCTCCTTGTCTGAGCATTATTGGTCATAGTGGTTTGGTGCAGCTCTACTGTGAATGTTTTACTTATGGCTGATAACTAGCGACACAGCAAATCTGGCAGCTTCAGTGGCACTAACAATTTCCCCTCTTTGAAACTTTGTAAACTTACTTGATGTTATGGACTGGCCAGCAATGGTGGGACTCACCTGCCTTTTGATCTGCAGTACCAGGGCTGGCCAGCGGGTGCTCCCAGCAATCAGAGACTCAACCTCTCAGCGCTAACACTGGAACAACTGGTGTATTTAAGGGATGGCCAACTTGCAGACTCTGCCTTGGTGTTGTGTTTGTCCTGGGCCCTGTATCTGTCCTCATCCTGTTTCTGTTCCTTTGCTGACTTCTCCTGCTCTGATCCTGGCTTGTGACCCTGACCATCCCTCTGTCTGACCCTCTGTACTACGCTGCTTGCTACCTATTCTGATCCCTGGCTTGTGACCCGGACCATCCCTCTGTCTGACCCTCTGTACTATGCTGCTTGCTACCTGCAACCTGGCCTGTGACCCCGACCATTCTCCGCTGCTCCCCCTGAAACCTGCCCAATTGATATTGACCCGGCCTGCCTGACGACGCTTGCTTGAATATACTGTTATCTGTGGGTGGTTTGGTTTGGTTTGTTTGCACCGTATTATGTTTTAGTATTGCACTGCGTTTATGTTTGTATTGTTAGTGTTAATAAATTATATTGTTTATAACATATCTGAGGTCTGCGTTTCCCTGCTTCAGTGCTGGGAGCCCTGCACTTGACTCCGTATTACTAGCATGACAGTGAATGACGAACGTTAGGCTTCCCACCTGTTAGCTAGGTGTCTCATCACACAGTGGAAGCAAAAGAATGTTTTATCACTTCCGTTTTCAACGCAAAATGAGTTGTCACTTTCAACCTGCCAATTATGTAATGTTTCCATATTTTTTTCCAACACCTGTATGTACATATATAGATATGTATAGCAAGTACTTCTTAAAACAGTCCTCATCAATGTGCAGTTCTGCAGCAGTGAAGAACCTACAAATTATAACAAGCCATGTCCAGTTCGGTTTGCTGGAACTTGTATTTTCACTGTTCCTACAAACTTACTGGTTAACCAAATGAAATCTAACAAATGCAATAATCAAACATTAGCAATTTAAATTAAAAGATATACACAAGAGAGATACATTGCATTAAACATCCTTTGTTTAGGTCACCGTGATTTGTAAAGTACAAGAAGTTACAGCAAGCTAGTGTTGGGAAGACTGAATTTAAAGACTGCATCTTCGGAAGACCAGGTAATATGGTCCACCAGATTGACAGCAAATACACAGCATTGCATAGATTTAAACATATTCGCACATTAATTATATAGTCTTCGGTACGATCTCATTTAAATTATGTATATCCCTGATCATTCAGCAATAAATCATCTCTTTCCAACCCCACTTTTTTCCCTCACTGCAATGGGGGGGCGGGAAGGCAAAGCTGCCGATAGTGTAGCAATATTTATTAAATAAAAGGGTTAAAATGAGAGTGTTGCACTCTCATTTTAACAGGCATAAAACAAGCTCAATGCCGGTCCCCCAGTCCAGTCCTCACTAGAACCGGTAGAGAAAGTGTCGTGAAGCTGAAGCAGGAATCCAGGCAAGCCACAGGGAGATGTTGTGGGAAACTGAGTCTGTCAAAGGAGCTGTCAGACGTCCAGGATGCTGTGGCCAATCACAACGCCTTTCTCAGGCCAAACCACGCCTCCTACATTTTGGCCAGTGTGTACCCAGCTTAAGTTTTAGTTTCTCCAAGAGCCAAAGAGTCATACTCTTTGGCTGCAGAGTATTAGATAGCCCATAGATGTGTCAGTTTTTCATAGTCAACGAACAGGTTAAACTAAATAAAATGACTCAATTCCTCCATCCACACACTCAATGTGGATTATTTAACACCATCAGAATACACTGATCAGTGTTGCAAGCTAGATCGGTTGTACGCAATTCAATCTGTAGATTTACTTCTGTACAATCACAGTGACCATACATTGGTTGAAATTCAGCCGGTCCTGTTAAACTGGTAGAATTTTGATCCATGTATGGCTGGCTTTAATGAATAATTACATAATACTTCAAATAAAGGAAACAATGTCTTTCTGCCTTAAACATAAGATATTAAGACTGCATACAGAATCTTCAAAATCATCTGTAGTACCTTACTACACAGCAGCATAATTCTTGGTAAAAAAAACACAAAGAAAAAGAAATGACGGCAAGTTTCTTTGAGTACATACCATCAGAATCTATACTATTCAGTGCGGTTGGAGGTATTATAGACACCTTGCATTGGCCAAGCGGACACTTTCGAGGGTACTGGTCCTTGCATGCAGTATGTACCTGTAGAACATTTTGAGGAAAGGATCAAAGAAAGGGTCAATTTTAATTAAATACAGTCCACACACCCCTGTTAAAATGTGCAGGTTTCTGTGATATACAAAAATGAGACAAAAAAATAGTAATAATTTCAGGACTTCTACGCCTTTAATGTAACCTATAAACTGTACAAATCAGTTGAACAACAAACTGAAATCTTTTAGGTGGAGGGAAGTAAAAATAATAAACTAAAATAATATGGTTGCATAACTGTGCACACCCTTAAACTAACACTTTGTTGAAGCACCTTTTCATTTTATTACAGTTCTCAGTCTTTTTGGGTATGAGTCTATCAGCATGCACATCCTGACTTGGCAATATTTGCCCACTCTTCTTTGCAAAACACTCCAAATCTGTCAGATTGCAAGGGAATCTCCTGTGCACAGCCCTCTTCAGATCACCCCACAGATTTTCGATTGGATTCAGGTCTGGGCTCTGGCTGGGCCATTTCAAAATTTAATCTTCTGGTGAAGCCATTTTTTGTTGAGTTGGATGTATGCTTTGGGTCGTTGTCATGCTGAAAGATTTAGTTCCTCATCATGTTCAGCTTTCTAGCAGAAGCCTGATGGTTTTGTGCCAATAATGACTGGTATTTGGAACTGTTCATAATTTTATCTATCTTGACTAAGGCCCCAGTTCCAGCTGAAGAAAAACAGCCCCAAAGCATGATGCTGCCACCATCATGCTTCACTGTGAGTATGGTGTTCTTCTGGTGATGTGCAGTTTTGTTTCTGCGCCAAACATATCTTTTGGAATTATGGCCAAAAATTTCAACCGTGGTTTAGTCAGACCATAACATATTTCCCCACATGGTTTTGGAAGACTTCAGATGTGTTTTTTAAATGCCGGGCTTGGATGATTTTTTTCTTCGCAAGAAAAGGCTTCCGTCTTGCCACTCTACCCCATAGCCCAGACATATGAAGAATACGGGAGATTGTTGTCACATGTACCACACAGCCGGTACTTGCCAGATATTCCTGCAGCTCCTTTAATGTTGCTGTAGGCATCTTGGCAGCCTCCCAGACCAGTTTTCTTCTCGTCTTTTCATCAATTTTGGAGGGACGTCCAGTTCTTGGTAATGTCACTGTTGCATCATACTTTCTCCACTTGATGACTGTCTTCACTGTGTGCCATGGTATATCGCTAATGCCTTGGAAATTCTTTTGTACTTTTCTCCTGACTGATATCTTTTAACAATGAGATCCCTCTGATGGTTTGGAAGCTCTCTATGGACCATGGCTTTTGCTGTAGGATGCGACTAAAGTAAATGTCAGGAAAAAGCTACTAGAACAGTTGAACTTTATTTGGGGTTAATCAGAGGAAATTTTAATGATGGCAGGTGTGTACTACTATTTAACATGATTTTGAATGTGATTGCTTAATTCTGAACACAGGTACATCTCCAGTTATAAGAGGCTGTGCATACTTCTATGACATTATTTTAGTTTTTTTGTGTTTACTTCCACCTCCTAAAATATTTCCTTTTTTTTTTTTTTTCAATTGAGTTGGACAGTTTATAAGTCACATTAAAGATGGAAAAAGTTCTGAAATTATTTATTGTCTAATTTTTTTCCATCACAGAAACCTGACATTTTAACAGGGGTGTGTAGACTTTTTACATTGTGTGTGTGTGTGTGTGTGTGCACACATATACGCACACCTTTTCATTTTCACCCATTTAGAATAGTTTACCACCACCAAATTGTTCACTATCACTATCAAACATTACCCACCCTAATGCTGTGCCATGGATTTCTCTACCTAGCTTGTAGGTATGCCAGGTCCTTTTTGAATGGCTGCTTGTGGTGGAAGCTAAAGGCTAGGTGGTTGGCAGCCATGGTGAAAAGCAGCAGAAACACCAAAAGGGCCATAGGTGGCAGCAGTAGCCCTTGCTCTGGTAAACCACCCACTAAGTCTTCTAGTTCTCCATTGTTAGCAAAGTATTGGTCTGGCACAAAACACCCACCAACTCCTCCTACTCTGAATTTAGCATAGCTTCAGTTCTGCATAGCACTCCTGCCATCCACAGCTTCTACAACTTCAGTCTGGCAGCGCACCCCCACCACTCTGATGGAGACATTTGATGGAGGGAGGCACACTAATGGGAACATTTGATGTAAGGGGCACTCTGATGAGGACAATTGATGAAAGGGGGCACTTCAATGTGGACACCTGATGTAAGGGGGGATTCTTATAGGCACTCTGATGCAAGGGGAAACTTTGATGAGGACTCCTAACGTAAAGAGACAAGAACATCTAATATAAGGGGGGCACAGATTCGGTTTAATCATCCTAATCGAATGACAAACTAATACATATTAGCATTCACTGTACACTCCAGCACCACCATTGCACTACCTGTCAGACATTACTTTTGGGTTGTGACTTACGGTACAGAAGCATACAGAGTGAACAGGGAATATTGGTTCCTTGCATCTATCTCAAACTATTGATATTATGCCCCCTGACTTTTTTCTTTACTACACCCCCAGATCAGATAGGCTAGATCTGGCCCCAATGTGATTTTTCTGCCTTTAGGGGCCAGTTGGGGGACATGCATAAGATAAGGGTGTATCTAAGGGACAATGTGGCTGTATCCGCACAGAAAGTACAGAAGTGGGATAATGTGTAAAGTTGGAGGCACTGTGGATATGTTTGAGTGGATCGGGGTTAAAATGGGCACACTTTTCCAAGTAGGCTACACACAGATTACAAGCATAGGGTAATGTACAGATCTACTCCTTTCCAATCATGGAGGTACACTGCATATCCAGAAAAATGACAATTCTTGCGTTTTTTATCCACAAAAACTGATAAAAAAAATTTTATTTTTTTTTTTTTTTTTACATATTTACTTGTAAAATCCATTTCTTTGAGTACATTACGGGACACAGAGCAGGCTATGCATGGCTGTGTGGATTATATATTTTTTTCTATTTCCTTTGTATGGCTATATATCAATTATATGTGCCTGGCTCTATTTTTTGCTTTATTGTAGGAATCTGTGTTTTGTTTTCACTGAAGAAGCGGGCACTGTCCCATGAAACACGTTGGAACTCAACAAAGTACTAATTCATGGTTTAGGCTGAAGTTATTCACCAACATGTCAACTGTTACCTATGATGCGACACCAATGTCCTAGGTGTCAGGAACTACTTATCAAGTCTTCATGTTTCTAGGCTGAAGCTATTAATGATCTGTAACTGATACTCATGACGTCTTTCCGCGTCTTGGACATCAGCAACAATTATTGTAGCTGGGTTACTGTTTGTAGTTCCGTTCATGTGAATATTTGTATTTTATGATCCTCTATGTGTTTGATTGTCATATTGGTGGTTAGTTTAACTTAATAAAAAGGTGCTCAATTCTTTTTTACCATTTGTTCATATATTTTGTGTACAATTGATATTAATTTATATGGTTTGGTACCCTTAAAGCCCCATTAGTTTTTCTGGTTAGGGTCTCATTTACTACATTTCCAATTAGGGGTGTGGTACCAGTAAAACCTTGTTCACAAGGACAGAATTTCTGTCTCCATCTCCCACCCCATGTATATCTAATATTCATGGTTGTGTGGATTAAATGCCACCTATAGGTGAATGGACACTGGCAGATCAAACAAACAGGAAGTCCTCACCTATATAACCCCTCCTACACAGGAAGTACTTCAGTTTTGTAGTAAGCAATGTATTCCAAGAAATGGATTTTACAGGTAAATATGTAGAAAAAAAAACAAATTTTCTTTATCGTACATCATGGGCAACATAGCAGGCTATTCATGACTATGTGGGAAGTCCCAAAGCAATACATTTGAAGGGAGGGGGAGACAAATCCCAGACATCGTCATCAATCCAAGGACCTATTCTGCTGTTTGCAACACACTGCAGGGCAGCATCCTCTGCAGCTCTAACCTCCACTCGGTAGAACATTTTGAATGTATGAACCAAAGACTATGCAGCGGGCCTGGCAAACCTGAGCTATTGACGCAGATGGCCCAAGATGCCCTCACACTCCTAGTAGAGTGCGCTCACTAAAAAGGGTGGGACCTTATCCTTCAAAACATAGGCTTGAATGATTAACTGGCAGATGCAATGAAAAATAGTTGACCTGGATGCCACCTGCCCTTCCTGAGCACTTTTGACAGTACAAACCAGGATTCCTGACCTGTGCCGCCAAACTCAAGTAAATCCTGACCACCCAAACTACAGAGTATGCAGTTATCTTTCTCCTGTGGACTAAGAAATAAGAAAGGTAAGACACTGTCCTGATTCAAGTGAAAACTAGAAACTACTCAGGGGTGTGGACATTTTTAAAAAAACTACTTGTCAAAGGACTAAATCGGGATCCAAATCTACTTGCCCTGATAAAAAAAAAATTTAACCAAAACTGTATTTAACCACTTCCCGTCCAGCCCATGTACAAAAACTGCCAGATGGGAGCAGTGCAGGAGCGGGTGGCCATTTATAAACATCCTCCAGCTTCCCTGCCTGTACGCGCTCCCTGGTATTGCTGTACGGGACCTCTATGTGAGGTCCCGATCATGTCATCACGAATTGGCCAATCCATGATCACATGAATAGTAGTAAGCAAGATGTCACTTCTGACATCATTGCTTACTACGTGTGAAATCTGTGAATGGTCACAGAGATCACATGGTACAAGGCTATTAACAGCCTTGTACCATGTGACAAGCTGTGACCAATCACAGCTCGCACAATATTTCTCAATGGCTGCAAGAATGCAGCCAGAGAGAAAGAGAAATGATTGCTTTTACAGCCTTTATGGGAGAATATATAAACCCAACATTTCACAATTCTGATATGTGCCTGCTGTACCATGTACTTGTATAAAGTATCCTGTTCTCTTTGTATTTCCTCCTTTGTATGAAGTTCCTTGTGTTCCTGCCAGTCCCTCTGCTTTCCTATTAAAAACTAAATACACAAAGCAGGAGAACACACCGTGGTCAGTTTTCTAGCTGTGCTGTAACTCTTCCAATGCTTTCTTCCAATGATCAGACTTCTGATGACACCCCCCACCCCCCTACAGCCTTTCAATATGAAGATCAGTGTGCTGCTGTTTCTTCTCCCCAGCTCTTTTATGCAACTGGGCACAGAGGGTACGTGATCATGTATAAAAAGGGGAAAAAAGGTGTATATAATGTTTTGCCTTTCATTTTTATTTTAAGCTGAATGGGGTTACAATTACTTTAAGAACATGTTGTTAGGGTGCAACACTGATTTGTCTGCTTTGTACAAACCTCTTCTTGTCTAATGAACCTCTTTTGTTTGGTTCAGAGTTTGAAATTTTTAAATAGTATGTGTGAAAAAAGTGCTTTACTATATATTCTATAGACACAATAGTTTTTTTTAATTTTTACATTATGCAGCATTATCAACTGTGTTACCATGTGCAAAGGAAACAATATATAACATTAAAACTTTAGGAAAATTTGAAGAAAAGAAAAGCAGCCACACTGACTGCCAGACTGAAGGTGTGCTTAGGCACACAATGCATCTATGTGTTGGTAATGTTTTATATTATAATCTAGTAGAATTCATAGTCTGTTCATGCTCACCATTGCTTTACACCAAAGGCATCGCCAATCCTGTAGACGTAAGACACTGCCACAGGTTTTGTCACAAACAGCACATTTGGCACTAACAGGAAGGTTTCCCTCCAACCACTGATGGGGCATTGCTATCTGAAAAGGCAAACATTAAGAAATATTACCAGATAGTAGGTCTGCAACAGAAATAGGACAATAAAAGGTACAAACAAAACTCTACATAAAGTAATGTCAGTTTTTTTTTAGAATGGTTTATGCTATCATTTTTGACAGACATTTTTTTTTTTTTTTATTATTATTTTGGACAGGTGGGCTAGAATGCAGTCAGGTTTGAATTGCTGTCTGTGCCCCTGATGTAGAGATTTTAACGCTCTTCTTGCCCCAGGTGCCATCCACTACCAAAACTGCAAGTGAGAAAAACAATCTTTTTAACCTGGACCCAGACTGCAGTAATAACCTGGCAGAGCTTCCATCTTATGGGTAAGTTGCTTTCTCAAACCACTTTAAAAACGTGCTTAAGTAAACCTGTTTGGGGAAAATAAAATTATTGAGGTGAGCATACACACATACGTGGATGAACTTGTTGATACAAGAAAATTTCCCTTAAATAACTTGAAACTGTACAAAAGTAAATGGCATCAAAGAGTGTTTATTTTTAAAATGAATCAGACTTTGCTTTGGATATATTAAAATATCTTAAATAAAACCATAAAAATGACAAGGAGAAAATGATAGGACCTTTTAAAGTATTCCTAAATCAAGGACCTTGAAATTCACTATATCTGATCACCCACAGTACACACAACATGGAAATGCAACTATTTTAGTAAATATAAACTGGTTATAGACTTATCAGTGTTTAGCAGAGCACTGGTTAAAGCTTGTAGGTGGAGTTTTCACTAACAGGATGCAGAACCCCTGACCTCTGTCTGGACAGTGCTGATTGGCCTTGTGCTGATCACATGCACTCTCCCAAAAAAAAAAAAAAAAAAAAAAAAAAAAAAAACCCTTGCTGGCAAATACACACCAAATTGCATGTGCAGTGTCTCCGCACAATAGGTCTTAACAGCAGATGAGAGAAGCATTGAAAAAAGGGGAGGATCAGAGAAGTCAGGATCAAACAGCATTTTTACACAATGCAGAGGGTTAACCCCTTAGGTTCCACAGTGAGTATAACACACATGCTTTACTGCATATACAGATTTATTTTACTGTTGTGGGTTTAGTAACACTTTAACCTAATATTGTGTTTCACAAACTTTCGCAGCAAAGACTTCGGCACCTGCCAACAGGTAGTTTGGCTTCCTCTTCTTGAGCAAATCGCTGTCTCAAGTCTGAACAGTGCCTCCTCCACACCGCACTTTATAGCTCCTTCCAAAGATGTTCAATAGAATTCAGATCAAGGCTAATAGAAGGCCACTTTAGTATAGTCTAATATTTTGTTCCTAGCTATTGTTCTGTGCTTTTAGTTGTGTGATTTTAGTCAATATCCTATTGGAGGACACCTGACCTGCAACCTGAGACAGAACTTTCTGACCCTGAGCAGTACGTTTCACTACAGAATTCATTGAGTCTTAAGATTTCATTGTACTGTGCACAGATTCAAGGCACCCCATGGCAGACAGTATATTTTAACAGGAGAAACCTCGCACATTTTTTTCTTCTATTTTCACTTCAAAATTGACAGACACTGATGTACTTTGACCTTGGTGTTCAGCTTGTATCTCATTGGAAGTTTTCCCTGGCTCTTTGCTTACCACCTGCACTATCCCCTGTTTAACCTGGGGTTGATTTTACTCTTATGGAAAAGAACAGAAAGATTGGCTATACCCTCATGGAGCTAAGCGTTTTAATAAAGCATTTTTAGTCACAGGAACATCAAGCTGCTTGGAGAAGGTGTCTTTACCTTTGACATACCAGTTTGAAAAAAAGACTATCATCTCTTTTCACACTCTCTTTGCTTTACTCTATGACCTACCAAAGACATGCAGGCATACATGAGGCTATTTCTTTTAATTACAGTTGTGCTCAAAAGTTTGCATACCCTGGCAGAAATTGTGAAATTTTGGCATTGATATTGAAAATATGACTGATTATGCCAAAAAATGCTCTTTTATTGAAGGGTGATGATCATAAGAAGCCATTTATTAACAAATAGTTATTTGGCTCCTTTTTAAATTATAACAACAGAAATCACCCAAATGCGCATGATCAAAAGTTTACATGCCCTGAAATGTTTGGCCTTGGTACAGACACACAAGGTGCCAATTAGAGGTTAATGTCCCACATCGGTGGCTTTTTAAATTGCAACTAGTGTCAGTATATAAACAGTCAATGAGTTTGGAAGCACTGACTAGGCTAGATACTGAGCCATGGGGATCAGAAAAGAACTGTCAAAAGTCCTGTGTAACAAGGTGATGGAATTTTATAAAGATGGAAAATGACAAATAGACTTTATAAAGTTCCATTACCTTGTTACGCAGGACTTTTGACAGTTCTTTTCTGATCCCTATTCATCCTTCAATAAAATAGCATTTTTTTTGGCATGATCAGTCATATTTTCAATATCAATGCCAACATTTCCCAATTTTTGCCAGGGTGTGCAAACTTTTGGGCACAACTGTACATTACTTTTCAGGAAAGATAATGCTTTTTTTTAATGAGCTGTAAGGGCACCACCACATTTTACAATGTCTGTGCCTTTAAAAGTGTGCAAGAGCACTACAGAGCACAGTCTGCAATAATTTCCAAGTTGAACACTTCCCAGTAGTGTTAAACCCTATTTCACCGCTCCCATTACCTGCATCTTTCTGTTTGCAAGAAAGACTGGGCAGTCAAGGATTGTGATGGGTCAATAGGAAAATGCGGGTGCGGTGGGCAGTCTAGTCTTTCAACAGTACCAGGAAGTTTCCAAAGCTTCAAAAATATAACAGCCAAGATTTTTGGGGTCTCATAGTGCTTTTGCAGCTCTTATGAGGGAGAGTACCCTAGGTGCATGAACATTATAACTGTGGTCACTTCAGAAATTTAATTTTTTTTTTTCCATAAACAGGTGTACTGTAAAGCGAGGGGTTCAAAAGTAAAATTATTAGACTAAACAACAGGACTAATAAAAATACAATAAGTTATTAAATTCCAGTAAACGCTCCATACTTACACCATCCTCATCTTCAATAATATCTTTCCCAATGGAGGCCAGTGTTGTCCATTTGCAGTTATTTGTTGCTCTTACAGCACATCGCTTATGAGCCTTAAATTTACATACTACAAATACAAAAAAATATTCTGTAAAGTGCATACTTTCACATTTGCAATGACACAACATAATGGTCCTTACAAAAACATACTAACAAAAAAGAAAAAGGAAGAAATAAAAGTAAAAAGGTAATGCATATTACAACATTCGATCCTATAATAACCTTTCTTGCATTTCTTTTTTATTTAGGGTGAATGTCTGCTTCACCACTTGACACCCGCTAGCAGTACATTTACTGCTAGTGGCAGGCACAGCCAGGCAGTGTACTTCTTGATTTTCGGGTGTGCATGTGCGCACCCTCTGCTGATCTACGCTGTGATTGGACAAGTTTGTCAGCAGGTTGAAGCCAACGATTATGGCTTTATACCTACTGATCGGCTGTGACCAAGTACACAGACAGCGATCTGGCTGTTTTTCCTCCCTGAAATTAACTCTGAATTCGGGGGTGGGATGTTAACTCCTTGCCAGACAGAATCATTAGTACAGTGCACAGTACTGTCACTGATTACTGTGTTAGTGTCACTAGCAACGTCAGTGTCCCTTCCAGACAGATTGCCTGTCACACTATAAGTCGTGGATCACCACTATAACTAGTAAAGCGCCTATAACTGTGTAAATACCAGTATATATACCATATTTTGTAGATGTAATAACTTTTACACAAACCAATAAACACTTTACACAAACCGATAAACACTTATTAGGTTTTTTCACCAAAGACATGTAGCAGAATACATTTTGGCCTAAATGTACAAAGAAATGTGACTTTCTTGGATTTTTTTTTTATAACAAAAAGTATAAAATAGGAGGTTTTTTTTTTCAAAGTTCTGTGTCTTTTTTCATTTGAATAAAAAAATAGATAAAAAAAACCCAGTGGTGCACAAATACCACCAAAAGAAAGCTCTATTTGTGTGAAAAAAATTATAAATTTAAATTGGGTACAGTGCTGCATGAGCAAGCAATTGCCAGTTAAAGTAGCACAGTGCTGAAAACCAAAAAAAGGCCCTGGTCATGAAGGGGGTACAAACCTCTGGAGGCCAAGTGCTTAAAACATAGTTAGAGGGCCTGTATTCCTGTAGGTCTTTAGAAAAAAATCTTCATAAACTACTTATTTGACATGGTAATTGTTTATTGTTGACACATATGTAAACAAATTTTTTCAGAAGAGGCCCTGTATAATAAAATGGAGGCAATTGCAATTTTTTGTGTTGCAATTCTTGTGCAACTGTTTGTCAAACACATATTTCAGGAAAAAATACACTAAAATTAATTTTTGTGCAAACATATACATTTTTTTGAAAAATCTAAAAGGTGAAGTTGTGTCAAGAAAATAGATACCAAACATGTAAAGTCTTAAAATTGGTGTGATCATGAAATCACAAAAGACTCTACAGGTTATCAATTTAAAGTCGACCATAAATTATGACCCTAGAATTACTGTACTCGATTGAAAATCATAACATTCAAGTGTGTAGAGGGGAGCTTTTACATTTTTTCCAATATTTGTATATTCTATAACAAGAAGCTAGTACACAGTGCTTCCAAATGTATAAATCACAGAGATAGTCAGGGAACTGCTCCCAATGTTAGAGCAGTCTACTTTGGGTCCTGGGATATCTGTAGGAACTGCGACTTCAGAGTTCTTGAATACTAGGGCGTTTATAACAAATACCTCATTAGACAAAGGGTTAAAGTAAAGGCAGAAGAGGTGATTATGTGAGCATAATGCATGTGGTGTGACATGTAGGGGTGATAAGGATGGCAGGGTGAAGGAGACATCTGGACAAATGTAACACAAAAATGTAATTCTCCTATGCAGAACACTAGGAGATGTGTTTTGAGACGGTTTCAATAAATTATTATTATTATTATTATACAGTATTTATAAAGCGCCAATAGTTTGCTCAGCGCTGTACATTACAGAGGGGGACAGAACATGTGACAGAACAATACCAATACAATGCAAAACATGAGGGGATGGAGGGCCCTGCTCTTTCGAGCTTACAATCTAGGATTAGGAAATATAATTAAACTATAAAATACATAATAAACAGAAAAGGTGTGAGGGTAACAAAAAACAGACATATGTCACTGCTCATCATACTTTTCATAGAAAGATCTTTTATACAAAGGAAGGTTTCATACTGTGCACGGATTTTCTATACTGGAAAAAAAAACTGTAAGGAGTATGCATGCAATGGTGACAGAATACTAAACAAAGCTCACTCAGACTCAGATTTTGTTTACTCACACTCAGATTTATCGTTCATGATCAGTTAATTATCTTAAAATTGGAAAAATATACAAGTGAAAAGACTGTTCCCCCAAACGAAAATGGATATAAAAATTCCACCTCTGTAGAAAGATGTTTTATCTAAATCACAACTTGAAAGAGTGATTCATTCAAAACTGAACCTTTTGTTACATGAGAAAAGTAACACATTGGCAACCACTTCTGATTTCTCTTACTGAAAATCTAGTTGCCTATGATAATTCAGGGTTCATGCGCACCGGTTTTAAAAAAAACACTGCATCTATAGGAATTTTGTGTTTTGCTTGTAGAAGCAGCTCAATGTAATCCTATGTCCACTCACATTAGGACATTTATAGTCTATTTTAACCACTTCAGGGTGGCAGGGCTGCGCAAAAACACACACACACACACACACACACACACACACACATATATATATATATATCTGGGTAGGGGGCACATGCCATTTGCGGCTTCAGATGTCGATCACCGGGTCCCGGCCGGAGATTCCCCCTGGCACCTGGTCATCACTGAGTATCACTGACATGGGAGAGACCTGTGTGTAAATACAGGTCTCTCTCCTGCCAGCAGTAACATGCTGCAGCACACATTTAACCCTTTGATTGCCCCAGATGTTAACCCCTACCTGCCCAGTGCCATTAGTACAGTGTCAGTGCTTTTTATCAGCAATGATCACTGTATTAGTGTCATTGGGATGTCAGTGGCAGTTAGTCAGTTCCCCCTAGTGTCAGAATGCCCTGCTATAAGTAGCTGATCGCCGCCATTACTAGTATATAAAAAAAAAAAGAAATTCCAGTATATATACCGCCATTTGTAGATGCTATAACTTTCACATAAACCAATTAATTTACATGTATTGGGATTTTGTTTTAGCAAAGACATGTAGCAGAACACATTTTGGTCTAAGTTTATGAAGAAATTTGATTTAATTTTTTTTTTACTGGACATGTTTTATAGCAAAAAAATAAATATTTTTTCAAAATTGTCGGTCTTTTTTTTTTTTTTTTTTCGTTCGCAAAAAAAAAACAAAAACCCACACTGGTGATCAAGTACCACCAAAAGAAAGCTCTATTTGTAGGGGGGGGGGGGGCAGGACATACATTTTATTAGGGTGCAGTATTGCATGACCGTGCAATTTTCAGTTAAAGTAATGCAGCGCTGTATCGCAAAAAATGGCCTGGTCAGGAAGGTGAAGGTAAATCCTCTGGATGGCAAGTGGTTAAGCTCAGCACTTTGAGCCAGAAGAAAAAAACCCCTCTGGTATGCATTTTTTTTTTTTTAAAGGAGTTTTCTAGCAGAAAAAAAACGCTAAACACTCCTAAAAGCCTGTACAAAAACGCTCCGCGTTTTATTCTGCCAAAAGAACTTACTTTTTTTAAGCCCAGTGTGCATGGACCCTCAATGTAAGATACTTTTACTGACCAAGAACAAGTATATAGATCAGGCATATATGGCTTTCTCCTATTCCACCTGTTTTAGTCACTTTAAGACCAGGTCTTTTCTGACACTTTGTTTACATGTAAAAATCAGTATATTTTTGCTAGAAAATGACTTGGAACCCCAAACATTATGTATTTTTTTTAACAGAGGCCTTAAAGAATAAAATGTTGGGTTTTGCGGGGGTTCTTTTGTGTCACAAGGTATTTGCACAGCAGTTTTTCCAAAGCTAATTTTTTTGAAACCATACACTTTAATGAATTTTAATGCACACAAAACACAATACCCATTTTTTTTCTTTGTAAAACATATATAAAAGATGGTGTTACACCGAGTAAATAGATAGCCAACATGTCACGGTTTTAAAACTGCGCACACTCGCGGAATGGCGCCAGATTTAAAAATTCCTTAGGCAACACTTAAAGTCTTTACAGGTTTATAGGTTACCAGTAGAGAGTTACACAGGAGGTCTGTTGCTAGAATTATTGCTCTTGCTCTGACGTTCGCGGAAATATCTCACGTGAGGTGATATTTAACTGTTTTTTAAATTTTATAATTTTTACACTGTTTCTTTAAATGTATTTTCATCACTTTTATTGCTGCCAGAAGGAATGTAAACATCCCCTGTGACAGCAATAGGCAGCAACAAGTACTTTTTATGGAAAGGTCTGGTCAATTAGACCCCAGATGTCTGCTGTGCCCTTAAAAACATCAAGATCTGTGTGATCAGATGTTTTCCCAATCTAAAAATGGTGCTGTTGAGACCTGGGTAAACCGAAAGTGACAAAAAACAAGTTGCTTTGCTTCCAGTTTCTAGTCCTTGAAAAGCTCTATGGTAAGCTGGCAAAACCACTGCTTTTAGTTTCGGGTTCTCCGGAGGGACGGAGAGAATAAAGAAGCAACAGTACGATGACCCCTCCCTCCATCCTGAAAAAGCAATCCAGTGCCTAATTAGCTGTTAGGATGGATTTTAAAGAAAAGCAGATCACCTGCAGAAAAAAAAAAAAAAAAACAATACAGCGATGATTCCTGTGACTGCAGGCATCATCCCGGTACAACCATTTGAAGTACCGACGTGTGTGTGTGTATTGTGGTCTTCACGTAGATATACATGTCCTGGGGCTAGTAACGCACTAAGTATCAGTGCCTTTAGGTCAAAGTAACAGCATGCGATGCATACTAGCACATTATGACATTACCTTGCAGGGGACTTTTTTTTTTTCCTGCAGTTTACCACCACTTTATGAGGGGTCAGAAATGTAATTCTCCTTGTTTTGTTTGGTTATAGCTGGTTAATTGTTTTCATAACCTCTCAGGCTTCTTTATCAAA